TAAGAGAAAGCTCTGCAGCCTGCCGTAGCTCTTTCTACTCTAGGTACTAATGGATATCCTGCTCCTTGAGACTGAAGCAGACAAAGACTTAAACTTGAGCTGTATAAATGTATGCATATATATATATATATATATATATATATATATATATATATATATAAAAAAAATCTGACATTTGCTCAGAATTAGAGATTATCATCAGAATGACTATATATTCCTCCAGACACTAGTTGGCAGTATTCACATGATTAAAGTTTGATTTCTCAGTAGGTTTTTCACTGAAGTCCATGTCCATGGACCATAGACCGGATTAGTCTCCATTTTTTATTTTTGCTTGGACCTTAATCTATTTACTTTTATTTATTGTTTTTTTGGGGGGGGGGGATGCTCCTGTCAGCCTCAGATAAATTAAAAAGTCACCAGTCACTACACTTGTCTCGAAATGTCAGACAGCTTATTGCCCCCCCCCCCACCTCAGACACCTCAGACACCTAAAAGCACGGTGTCCCTCTCTGGTTCATTCTCACGCCGGCGGATCACAGGCAAATGCGCTGCCTCCCTATACCATTCACACTTTTATCAACAGGACAGTGATTGTTGCAGGGCTTGTTATCGGTCCTAACGGCCGGCCCATTTGCTCATTAATGTCAGCCTTATCGACTCTCAGCCAGCTGTCACACCTGCCATTGTGTCACCACAACCTCAGAGAGGGATTATACATCCAGCTCTGATTGGATAAGAAGGTATGTAAAAGAGGTGGTTCCTCTACATGCATATGAATATACGATATACATTAATGCATACAGATGAGGTCTCAGGTTTCCGCTAAAGATCCAAATTACTACGAATAGGCATTGGCATCATGTTTTTAATGTAGTTGTTGGGAAGATCATATTGTAGAGCTCATGGTTTGATACCAGCTGTCCATTTCTCGCAGAAGAATATTGAGGAAACACCTACAGCTCTCTCCTGGCTGGCTCAGATGTAACCTTGTGTTGATTGCTGTGGCTACCATGTTGTGATAAATTTTATACTAAGTAGGAGAGCTGCTTTCCATTATATGACTTCATTTGAAGGTACAGGGATAGAAACAGCTTTGTCTGTATGTAAAGGGCGGGAGCTGGACAGTGAATGAAGAAGGCGCAATGTCTGTGGCTAAACATGAATGCTTCTTAAACGTTATCTTTCTACAAATGCCACCCATTAATCATAAAATCTCACTGGTGAGCTGTGGCTGATTATTTCTAATAAAAACAGACATAAATGTTATTCTCAATAAGAATTAAGGGATATGATTGTATTTTGCATAAATTAAAGGAAGGTGGTGCAGTGGTTACTGCTGTTACCTTTTACCTGTCGGTCCTGGGTTCGAGACTCCTTGGCTGTAGGTATGTGAAGTTTGCATGTTCTCCCCATGTTGTTGTGGGCTGCGCTCTGGTTTCCCCCCACAATACGAAAACTTGCTGAAGTGCAGTTACCAAATTGCCCATTGCAGTATGAGTGTGCCCTGTCATGCGTTGTGCCCATAGCTTCTGGAATAGAATCCAGACCCCCTCTGACCCTGAATGGGACAAGTGGGCACAGAAGATGGATGAAGGACAGAGATTGGCAGCAAACCACTTTGAACAGAACAGCACAAACCAGAAAGGTATAAAAGAATTAAATGGATGAAAGACCCAGAGTCACTACAAGGTGCTCTAACTGCCTCCCATGAGATTTACAGCCGTAAATGTGACAAAATGTGAAAGGGTTCAGTAAAAGGGTTAAACAACAAAATTATTTACATTTATGTTTCTATAAATCACATCAAACTCTGTATTATAACCCTGTACAGGATTGGTATGGATGTATTGTTGATAGTATAAGTTATTAGAATATAATGGCTTCATAATTCAAACACAATACTTATATTCAATATAAAAATATCATAAAAGAAAGTTGGGAAAACGATCAAGATCTCTGTGAGAATGGCTCCTAAAATGTTATCTGATCTTCAGTTGGCATAAAATGACAAAAGCAAAAAAAAAAAAAAAAAAGTTATTCCAGAAAGACGAGAAAGTGTAACTTTAAAATTGAAGCCTGGATCCACATGGATTCTCACATTCTTTTTCTGTTGCTGTTCTCTGCTGCCCAGAGGAAAATTACCTCTGATGAAAGCCTCCAACAGATCGCTGAGCTGTTAGGCAAATGGCCCCAACAGATACAAACTCAGGCACCCTCAGTACAAAAGTGATTTCCCTAACGGACCATCAGCACTGGGCCAAGTCAGGTATCTTCACACCTTGCGCTCCAAAGATAACCGTTCACGCATTATTTATTCATATATTACTTCAACACTCCTAGCTACATGTGCACCACTTGAGCATGAATACCGCATGTCTCTGAACTTTTGTTATTGTTACAAATAGAGTGAGATTCACAATACTGTTGGGTTATGAACATCAGACCAATTCAAATAATTTCTTATGTAATGAAGTACAAAAGGTGAATAATGAATCTTGAATTTTGAACTGTCAAAGTCTTTGTGTATGTGTGTGTGTGTGAGCCTTCAGGCTGAAAATGTGCTTATGCAATGTATGTAAAATTCCTGAGAAAAAGGCACGATAATTTCCTTGTTGGTTTGGATCCTTGCAACACTGCAGCCAATTGATACAAAGGTCACCTGCTAAATCACACCACACTCTCGCTTCCCGCCATGCATCTCTCAAGGTGGTCAGCAGGGGGTGTAGTGGTTAAGGGACCAGTCTTGTGATGCCGAAGCTGCAGGTTCATAGCCTGAAAACCTTTTGGGTTGAGCTTGCCCTACTGAGCTGATCCAAAATGAGCCCCCAAAGCCGGCCCAGCGAGCACAGTTAACCCACTGGTTTGCCTGCCTTCTAAAACCTGTTGTAAAGGATCCCCCAGGCCGTGCCGTGCTCCCACGCATGGAAGGGTGGCAAGGGCCCGGTGTTGGAGCATCTGGTTTCAGCCAGAAGGAGAGGCGACCGGCGGCCCATTGTCAGTCGTCTCCAGAGTGGCCAGACCACATTCTGCACATCTATGGTTTCACTCCCTTCACTCCCCAAAGATGCCAGATCCCCCCCCCCGCCCCCCCACCAGACAGAGCCGTTAACATGACGGTCCTTTGGCACTGGCTGCCACAGACATGCCTGGGTCCACCCACAGCAGAGTAAAGCACTTAACATGTGTAATTACATGTTATATGTATTTCCAAAGTTAGATTTCACTCTACAGTGTTGACCAGAATCAAAGGTTTCTTACAGGACAGTCTAGAAATTCATCTTTTTCTTCATTGCAAGTCTACAGACGGCTTTGCAGCAGCTGCCAAGTACTGCATCGGAGACAGGCTCCCCCAGCAAAAAAAAAACATCCCCTCTTTCTGAAAACCTAACTAAATTATAATAATTATTATTACTATAATATTAAAAAACACATGCTCTGAGCTGTTCCACCACCCCATAGAACTTAAAAGACCCTTTTTGGTGTCCCTAGTATTATTTTTTTCTAAGTTATTGATTCTCTATCGCTACATATCAGTTAATTAATAAGTTCATTGTTATATGCATGGTAAAAGTCAGGTTACCCCACTTAATTAAAATCTTACTCTGCATGTTCCAACTGGGCAAAGTTGACACGGATCAAACATAAGACACTATTTCATATCTTTCACGTTGATAAGATAATCGCCAAATTTGCATGAAGGGTGCGTCTGGCACGATTAATTTGATTTTTTTTTCTTTTCTACGTGTTAAAGGAGAACACAGTGATAGAAGCTGCTGCTGCGTTACGAGGGAAACGATAACCAAAGCGATCGCGATAAATGGGAGCGTGAAGGCAGCGGTGCAGCGAGCCAGTGCTCCGGCGGATTGCTCCTCAGAAGAACCATTGTTCACAGGCCAGATACCCAATCACAAATTTAAAATAATAGCTCTTATCATGTCAACGTCGCACTCAAAGGTCCCATTGTGGTATCTGGTGACACACACTTTGCTCTTGCCTGTAACAGATCACGAGGCGAGACTCCATCATAGATGCGCTGAACAGCCCCGAAAGCACCCCCCAGTTCAGTTCCAAAGTGCTCCACCCTATTAGGGATATTTAGCATTTTTATAGTAAAATCATAACAACCCCAAAAGCCATCCACTGTTGCATCTTATACATTAATTAATCCATTAATTAATAAACTATTCCTCCGCCCGTTTCAGAATGAAAGGACAACAATATAAACAATATTAATCAAACAGAAAATAATTTTGCTCCGACAGCACCTACAAAGCCTTGCTTTTTGATTGGTGTTATCGTTTCAGTATCACAATCTCCAGAAGTTTCTGCTGCCACCTACCGTCCAATAACAACATCGATTTTTTCGTATTGACAAGCCGGTCCTTGTGTAGAAAATGGATGGATGGGTTGGTTAGTAAGATGAAACTTTATTGAAATCTGGGGCACATGACAACCAACCTAACGATTTGTTTTTGCAAACAATCAGAAGGTTAGGGAGGAAAATTAAAACACACAAGAATTATTTAAGTGTCACATATATATTTTTTCCACGTATACTGTAAATGCACGAGATGATTTAACCTTTCATTTCGAACCTTTTTCGAAATGGACCACAACCTGTGTGCTTCCCGGATTTTGGCATCATAAACTCTGCAAGCCTACAAACAACAATCTTAAAATGCTTGTGTAGGGCAATTCATTTAGACGCATTAAAAGCAATAAATGTGTTGCCCAAATTTGGTGAGTTTCCGTATTAGTGACTGTTGACGAAAAACGCGGAAGGACCCAGGAGGTCCTCAACTAAAATAGCGCAGTTCAAGCAGATTGCCTGAATAAAACACACTGCAATGTGCACAGAAACACGGGTGAACAAGCACTGTGTAAAATTTGACAAGTGTACAGTTATTAAATATATCATTGCGTTTTGGAAGTTGTATATAAGAATTATGAAATTGGCAATAAACTCGATTATGATAGAATATGAGGTAAAACTAGGCATTTTCTGGGGGCACGTGTCATCGACTAGGACACAAAGATGGCGGCCTCCTTGCGGCTCGGACGTCCGGGGATAATAATTGGGCTGAGATTACTTAAAGTACAAAATGCATCCAGGATACAGCAGTTGTGCCGAAGCAATTTAAGGCATTTTTTCTTGTCCCCATCATTCCTGGGTGAGTATTGTCACACAGCTAATCACACCTGCTTGTCTAAGGCGATTGGTGGTTTGCAATCTGCATAACCTGCTGTCATTCTAACACACAATATGAGATAAATCGGCCACTAAATGTTGTTGTCAATAAAAAATATATAGTTAGAATTATTGGCATCTTTAAATTGCACATAGAGCATGAATGTCTCCTGCGTCGAACTGACATCCCGTCCAGGGTGTACCGCAGCCTTGTGCCCTGTGTTGGTTGATTGGATGGATGGATGGGAGGGGTAAAATGCATAGTCGGGTTGCAAAGCTGAGCAGAGCATTGAAGAATTGAACCGACGAATGTCGACGGGTAGTGTAAAACTGGTCACATACGGTTTAGATGTAGTATACGTGCGTGTTGACAACGTTTGCATCTTCTGCATCAAGTTCAGCTGCAACCGATTAATAGTGCATTGGTCATGATCACCAATCTTTTAATAAAGGTTATCGGTATTCTAAGATAAAATTAAGACACCTTTCGAAATGCAGTTTATATGAATGCATCATCATCCGGTCGGTAAAATATTTTTAATACACTTGCGAGGGATACAGTGCCTGGAGGTAATAATTGCGTTATGATAATACAATGTAAGGTAAATTGGGCCTGCATTGTTTTTGCCCTAGGTGGGACTACTTTTCAGCGCAGCCCACTGAAAACGTGTTCTATTGTAAGATGACGGCTCTTCACAATTGACATCTGCTTGAAAATACTGAGCTGGCCTGACTGAAAATATTCTATATTTAATTTTCTCCAGGCAGTAATAAACTGATAGCCCATTCCCACTCGAGTTAAGACACAGTCATCCCCCCCCCCCCATTGCACTGCACTTAGTGAATCGAGATAAATTCAGTTATATTTACATTATTTCGGGAATTCATTGAAGTAAGAATTACATAAGTCGTAAAGCAGTCTGCGTCTGCAGGCATTACTTCCATCTAAAGCGACATCGGGGTACATTTCGCTTACCTATCAGTTTTAAACTTTATATGTGTGCGGGACAATATAATAATGGCCTGTAGGGGGCAATCGCGTCTCAAAAACACCTGGACGCTCGCTCTATTAAACTGCGCAAGTGATACCGAGCTCATCACGTTGGGAGCATCACTTGTTTTCACTGCAGCGTGAATTCTACACCATGCAAGTTAAGCTTCATTTTATCTGACCAGTATTCATCAGGATTTATGTTCTTTGGCAAATGTTACTCTTGTAGTTTTGTGCCAGTTGTTGTTAATGTTTCTGAAATCTGGGGTGACAGGGGGGACCAGTGCCTATCGCAGGAACAACAGGAACCAACCCTGGGCAGTCGCCAACACAGTGCAGGGCACACACACTCACAAGGCCAATTTAGACTCGCCAATCAACCGAACCTGCACGCTTTTGGACCGAGGGAAGAAACTGGAGCACGAACACAGGGAGGGCGTGCAAACTCCACACAGAAAGGCCCCGGGACCGAACCCAGGACCTTCTTGCTGTGAGGCAGCAGCGCTAACCGCTGCGCCACCGTGCCACCTGGTTAATTTCATGAAGAGGCTAATTTCTGAAGCTGAATCTAGTGCTTAGCCAGAAGCACTGGCCTGTCTGTTGTTCAGTGCAACTTCAAGCTGTGTGTTTTGTCATCTTTCTTCCTAACAACTGCTGCAGCTGTGTTCAGTCATACGTTCAGGAGCTTCCTAGTGGTCTTGTAACTTTTTTTTTTACAGATTTTTACAGTTACTATCTGGAGTCTTACATTTTCAGGCAGTTCCTTTCATGTGGAGCCCTAATGGATTTCAAAATTGTAAATATTCTTGCGTTAACAGCCTGTTTTGAAATCCTTCTTGACCAAAAGTCTCGCTGACAAACATGCAGGCACTCGGCCATATGTGGTTTCGTCAAAGAGACTAACAGCTTGCGCAATTCAGTCGAATAGAAAATCACATCATGGTTACACTCATTTTTGTTTCACTGAGTGTCTGTAATTCCAATGTGGTCTGACTAAACTAATTCCTTTTAATTCTGTATAACAGCGTATATCCTGCTTAAATTAAAACACACACAGTTATTTTAATGTTAATTATACTGTTTGGAATCATTAATGTTTCTGTAAAATAGACCCAACTCCTCGTTAATGAGAATGATCAGAGGAGAATGGCCAGACTGATTAGGGTTAATAGAATGACCATGAGTGCAAAAATAATGGCACAATACAGCAGTGTTGTGTATAATGGCTTAGCTACACTTGAAGTGATTCTGGAGGTAAAAGTGGGTCCTAGCCGGTACTAACTAGGTGAACCTAATAGATTTGATGCACTCAGTCACTTTATCTATAAATGGCACTATAGGTGTGTGTGTGTGCGCGTGTGCACAAACATACACTCGTATACATAGACAATAGACATGCATACATATTCACACATACACACTCACAATGCCATAGTATAAACACAAAGTGAGTGTGTGAAAAGAAAAATCCAGGATGCACAAAGAACATACAAATGTAACTACATACATACTTCTGAATCATCTTCGTCCATCCCGGTTCCAGTTCCCCCCCCCCCCCCCCCCCCCCCCCTCCCCCAGTTCAGCACAGTATCACAGTTTCTCCCCTTTGTGACTGACCAGTTCCTGTTTCCCTCTGCTTCCTTCAGGGGCACCACCTATTAGGCTGCAAATGCCCGCGCTTTCCCCCACCATGGAAGAGGGTAATATCATCAAGTGGCTGAAAAAGGAAGGTATGACCTGAAGAGCACACCTCTTTGATGGCTATAAATAAAATGCAAAATCATTTAGTTTTTTTCTTTCTCCAAATGCTCATTCATTGGCTTAAAGAATGATTTAAATTTTTATTAACATAGCATAGTGTCTGTTCTCCTGGCTCTTTATATCTTTACAGCAAAGATTTTGCTATGTTTATGAATGTTTGATGTATTCATTGCATAGTTATTCTGCTAATTTCCAGAAATGTTTGAATACTCATCAGTGTCTAAAATGGGTGAACCTCGGACAGTAATTTTGCCGTTTGTTTTCGGAAGATGAGGTTGGTTGGGGGTGACGACAGTTAAATGACCACAACGCAGACAGGGTTCCGTCGGAAGGTCAGTGTGTCACAATCATAGTCATGGTGACATGGGGATTCCAAACACGCGACAGATGTGCCCTTTAAGGAATGCAGCCTGTAGTCAGGAGAGTGTTAATGGTTTCCAGGCCACGTTCTCCATTGACACAAAACGAGTGTGCGATACAGGGTGTAGAAATGCTTAAGGCATCATTGAGGGAGGGAAACAGTCATTAATCCTTGGAACATGGCGGCCCTTAGAACAGGGTGACATGACCACCGTTTTGAGCACATAAATCAGCGTTAATAATGAAATTACCTCCAGGCCTCAAAAGTAATTAGTGTCACAAAAAGACCCCCATAAATGTAAAAAATTATTACCATGATCCTACCCTCTGTCAAAGAAGTGTTTAATCAGATAAATAGATGGACTTCATCATAATACCTACTAACAAAGCTAATACATTCTTCTCACTAATAAGCTGGTGCTAAGATCACTGCACAGAACAGCATTTGTGTTAATAATTGGTGCCAAAACTAACATTAAAGTAACTGAAGAGATGGCACTGAAAAAAATGGTGATGTAAATGGAATGAAATGTACCTAAATGGAACATTCTGGCAGAAGGCGCTAATGGGCTTTCATTTGTAACCTTTGTCACCCCTGACATCTCCCTGTGGGAAATTGCCTGCTGGCTATTTTGTTGGCTGTAGAATTGGCTGCCTTAAAAAGACCCTTTGGGGCCATCGATAGACTTATTGGTAGGTGTGTGTGTCTGTGTGTATATTACTTTGTTAGGACCAAATGGGACAAAATGTATTTTGACGGTGCCGGGACCACCTTTTCAGTCCCCACAAGGGGAAACTCAGTCTCATAAAAATCTGTGCAATCAAAAAACTAAAAATTCCAAAAGCCTGGTATTTGGTTTGGTTACTTATGGTTAAGGTTAGGGCTGGGTGGGTGTTAGGGTTATCATTGTTGGGATCAGGGCTATGCCCATAGAAATGAATGGACGGTCCTCACAAAAATATGAATATAAATGTGTGCGATGATATACAGAATAAATAGTACTAACACTTTAAATTCACAGACTTTGAGCATTTGACCTCTGGGGTCAATTTCCACCAAAACACATTAATTTCCGAGCCACCCCTGGCCCTTGGAAATGCCCTGTAAGGGTAAGGTCAGACCCCAGGGTGCCCATTGCCCCTCTGGGGCTGAAGCTCGCCTTTCATCCCTGCATGACAGGAAGAGGCCTTCTAGCGTCGTGTAGCTTCCTCCTGCCGCAGAAACCGCTCCGCTCTGTCCTTTACTGCCATTCTTTATGCTGCTTTGAGTTTCTCCCTCACCTGGTTTATATTTTAAATGAAAGATTCCCTGTCTTGTGCTCTTAAATATTGAATTATAGCTCACTGGATACTCGGTGATTTAGCCACTTTTTAAAACTTGTGGGGTCACATTCCTGTATGTCTTTTTTCTTCTTCTTCAAACCAAACCATCTGCTTGTGTACTTTCAGTCCCTAGATCTGTCTTAGATTAAGCATCACATATTTTCCCTTATGCTACAAGAAGCAGAGCAAATACACTAATGCAGCTTTTAGATCAATGCCCAGTCTTTCAGGCAGGCCCCCAGATGTTATTGAATAAGTAAATGTCTGTTTGCTTTGTCTTAGAAACAATATCTGCATCCAGTGCAGTTCCCCTGCATTACAGCAGGAGGTGCTATAGCATGCAGATGACATTATTGGCCTATTAGTGTTTAGCAGCAGATTGAAAAATCGATCTCAGATCTATAAATAAGCTGGCCTTGGCATTCCTGATTATTGAAACTACAGGTAGGCGACAAGGTGAAGATATTCAAGTCATGCGACATTAATTTCTGTCTTGCTCTGGCTTTCTGTCTGTCAGCCGCTAGTCTGTTGTGCTGCTTTTAGATGCTGGGCCTCATTGCACATTGGGTGTGCCGAGTTCCTTAATATCATTCACATAATGGGTGCAGGAGGGTTTGTTATGAAATGTTATCATGTTAGCCAAACTGTTGCACATTTCCTGCATTTCCCTTATCCAAAACCGCAGAGTGGTTAGTGATTTAGGTTAATCAGAAACATCTAGTATTTTATTTCTGCCATTACAGTTTAAAATAAAAGTTTGGTTCAATGAAATTATAATATTAGAGTGAGTTATGACATAATGTCCATCATTTAATCTGAATTTGACACACATATTCCAACAGTGATTGTCTGTCTGTCAGATTTGTGTAATCTTTATATTACTGTTAAACTGAGTAAATACATTGTGAAGTGAAGTCGATTCAAGGCAAGATCAAATGCTCATTCCAGTGTTAAAGAACTTCACACATTCTCTTGTAAAATGCATTTAATTGTTGTGGGTCCGGATCCGTTCTAGTGCAGAGTCGCACTAAACAACACTGTATGTTATGCTGCTGGTATCTAAAGACCTGTGGTGACTAAGGTGGGTCATGCTTTGTTAATCCTGCATTTTCATCATCAAAATCTTAATTTTTCAATTTATTGCTTTTTATTTCAATTTGGATTAGTCAAAATTATACCAAAATGTGAACAGTGTCTGCCCAAAGGCCTACCAGAGATTTGGAAATTACATGTCTTGTAAATCCTGTGTACTTCTCTGCTAGGTGAACCTGTGACAGCAGGAGATGCGTTGTGTGAGATCGAGACCGACAAGGCGTTCATCACCATGGAATCCAACGACGATGGTGTGCTGGCCAAGATTTTGGTAAGCGATGCGTGTCCGCTCTAACCGTACTATCTCCTTGACGTTACCGGAATGGGCATCTCTTGCCACACCATGTCTGTAGCACCGTGTGACCAGGGAAAAATCAATGTTTTGATTATCAGTCACGAATTACTAACTATTGTCTTAGTCACCTGGTTATAGATTGGAAACATACTACACTGAGTTACTTGGCAAACCCATTTCATAAGACATTCACACTCATGGTTTATCCACGTTGCCCCTGATTTACGGCTGGGTTCATACATCAGAATGGTCGTATGTCAGAATAGATAATTGCGCTAGAATGAGACTGGAAGATGAGTGTGAGGTTGGGATGGTCACACTGCCATACAGTACAGGCAGTTATGGTATGGTGTGCAGAGCACACTGGGTAGTGTAGTGATTCCAGGCACACAGTCGCCTGAAATGTATTTTTTAATGCACTTCCTTAATTTTTTTCTTCCTTTAAAAGCTTTGGCCCTATATGTGAGTCGTCGTACATCACACAGGTTCTAAGTTGAGGACAGTCTATATTAGCGAAGGTGGTGCATGGTTGTAAAAAATGAGTAGCCATAATTTTTATATATTAGTATTTTCCCCTGCTGGTTTTGATCAACCATTTAAAAGTTTGAAAGTCTTGTGTGGGAGAACTCTCCTCCTGTCCGCTGGCCTTTCTCTATTACAGAAGCTCATTAAGCTCGTTGGCGCTGGAGACTGGTAACCAGGCATCGCGTCATGGTGTTTGCCGTGTCGAGATCAAAGGTTGCTCTTTTGTTCTTATTTAGGCAGTGAATGGTTTTCCCGCCCCCCAAAAAGAATACTGATAGCGAGCTTCACAATTGTCTGGTCACTATCTCCTCCGGTCTTCTGGCTTTGCAGACACCACAGCTGGAAATGGCTTACAAGTCCCCTTCTACAGGCAGTGTTTGTTTAGTCATTTATAGCCTAGTTGACTCTCAAACGATCTGCACCTGCTGTGTTTGCTCTATCACGTATTATCACTTTTACGCACCTAACACCTGTAAGAAGCATATATAATAAATTTACCGTATAATTCACCATGCCCGTTGTTCAGCCCCAGGTTGCCACATGCAGCCAAGCGTGGCCAAAGGATGTTTAAGGAGGACACCTCAAAGTTGGTTGTAGTACATTTGTGGGCTAGTAGGAAGGCCTGAATGCCAAGCAGCCCTCCGGATGGATAAGCTGTGAATCTGTGCCACAGAAGCATTACTGAGGATTCATACGCGACTCTATGTGGATAAAGGGCTCAGTCACTTTCCCTCAGGCCGAATGGCATCACACTTAACTAATAAAGACCTTCTAGTCTTGGCAGTATTATCTATTTGTCTGCCCCTCTTGTCTTCCCCATTCTCTCGTTGGAACGGTCTATGCCGACCAGACTGTTAACCGTGCTGCTAGAACAACAGACATTTGCGTTCTGCTGCCTGTTGTATCATTCATTAGTCAGGCGGATTTACAGCAGGATATACCCTGTGACGGCTCTCCCAATGCGCTCCCAGCAGAAGCAGTCTACAATGCATTGTTTGGACATGTAACACTTCCATCCTTCTAGTGAATTGAAGCAGTTTCCATGGAAACCTTGAGGGAAAGGTGGTCTGGGATTGATAACCCCCTTCCACTTCTCAAGACCTCCAACCCAGCAGAATGTTTGAGCAACAGTACATTCTTCTACAGCAATGAAAACAACAGGAAGGTTTACATTTATCAAGTGGCGGCTTGGCTGCTAATGTGTCTCACTATTTCACAGTTTTTTAGAGAAAGTGAAATTAAGTGGCATGTGAAGCCATTCATTTCATTTTAAAAGGTGCTATTTTTATTCTGTTTGACTCTGTGGTGTTATGGTAACGAGATTTGTTGTTTTTATGTTTACTTCCACAAACTACTGTCATGATGTTAGGGTTAATTTTCCAGGAAAGCTGCCTGAAGCACAGTCACTGATAGACACCATGGAGCCATACTGCAGATGTGTAGGTCCGTGTAAAAGAAGTAAAAATTAATAGGACTCTGATCATTTGGACGGCCGCATGGGTCGCTTAAGTCGGCGTTCTGTGTTTCACCCACGGTGTAGAACTCCCGATATCCGCTCCATTGCCGCTAATCTCGCTGCACATTTACGGTTGTGCAACCATGCGTTGAAGCGCAGCTTCCTTATACAGTAGCTTCTCATGCCTTGGGTGAATACTCTGTGCGCTTCGTGGGCTTAGCAGTCAGGAGCTGGTCTGACATAAAACGCCGTCTAGCTCATTTTAGGTCTGGGTCCCTGAAGTCTCGTAAGCGGACTAGACATGCTGGCTGCCTTCTGCTAAGACCACCTCATTCATCTTCTTGGCCAAGAGCAGTCACTAAGTAGCTGGGAAAAGCCAAAATCTTCTTAGCGCCACGCTTCCCCCTATCTTGCCAACACCAGCGTCATCCTGCTTTGGCTCGCGCCGAATCAGTGTCCGGTCTTTCCAGAATTTCTACACCAGGCCTGGCACGAGTCCATTTGAAGGGAGATGGCTGTTTCCAGAAAGCCGTAATCGCATCTCTCTGTGTGTGAGTGTGTGCGCGTGTCGTTCACTCGATCGATATTCGCACCATCGACGCTGCTGATTCTTCACACCTCTGTGATCGAGCAGGTAAAAGGATGGAAAGTTGTAGGACACAAACGTTCCCTCCTTAAGATGCACTAGTCTAATGTCCCTTTTTATAGAGGCAGAAATACAGTCAGTAAGACCAGCAGTGTTAACTCTGTTCAGTTTAGATCAGTCCAAGCTAAGGACTGAGAGTCCTGTTGTAATCGTAGAGGACTAAGGTAGATGCGCTATCATCATAAGACCATCCATGTTGTTTCTGCAAGGGATATACGACTGTAAGCATCCAGCAGCATTGGGTACTGCGTATCCTACAAATTCCCCAGGACTTGACACATCCCCCATTATATGTCATACTCTTTAGGTTGACAATGTTAGTTTTATGATTGTAGTTGGGAAAACATACCTGGATTCAGAGTTTGAAATGGGTATATCTGCCTTGTTCAGAGGTACATCCCTCCTCCAAATGCAGCTATTACATGCCACCGAACAGAAAACCTTTGACAGACTCCTGAAATTTCCCAGAATCCTGGTTTGTGTCCTGTATAGTTTTGCCAAGCTACCTACTAGTAGGAATCCGATCATGCATTTGGCAGGTAGCTGGCCGTGACCTGGAGGTGAGTTGTGGTTAGTCGGCCATGACTTGTGCCAAGAGGCATGCAGATCCCTTCATGTAGCTGCCCGTCACCAAACAGCCACACACAACACTGATCAACGAGGTCAGCCCCCTCCTTACCGCCACCTGCTTTTCCGCATCCATTTTTTCCCCCTCCTTTCCTGCTTTGCCCACAGACTTTCTGCAGAAGTAGTTCTGTTTTTTCATGGTAAACCAAAGCACAAGTTTCTTAAGCGGTGCATGGGAATTCCCGTCACCCTGGGCAGCTGGAACACAACTGCAAGAGCAGCTTAGACATTTGGTTACGGCTTGCCGGGGAATTGGCCGGCACAGTTTGGACGGGTCTGCCATCTGGGGTGCATTTTCTCATTAGAAAATTCTACACTGTACAACAAATTTATGGCAAGTTTAATAGCGGGGATTGTGCGTTTTCAGCATAAGTCCTATGCTTGATGTTTTAAAATGAAAATTTTAAAAATGTAACACTTGAAGAACCCCCGGTATGAGCCTTATCCAAGAATCTTTCTTCAAAGGCATAATGATGATTAGATTTTGTTTCCAAGATGTGTGTTTCCCCTCCGATGGTTATTATTATTATTTTTTAATAGTAGTGGTAGTTGTAGTGTTTTTGTTGCTTTGCCAGATTGTCCAGTTTTCTTTTTGCATGTTCTAAAGCCAATAATCATCGTGAAATACTGATAAAGCAGGAATCCGTGTCAGCTCTTCCCCTGGCTGAACCCACTTGAAGGTCCCTGTTTACACTGTCTGTGGCAGATGCTTTCCCATTAATGAAAACATCTTGTTATTACATTGAGCTTTGAAAGGAAATCTCCAGACTTTACATGCAATTTTGTTTAATTTTTTTGCTTTTGTATGATTTTCGGGAAAGAAGCAGCTCTCTGGTTAGACTAATATGCTTTAATTGTTGTATAAAACCCAAATCATCCTTGGACACTTCCTGTGTGATTAACTAATCGCTGTCCAGCACAATCTGCCTGGATACTGGATCTGCCAGGTTCAAATATAGATTTACCCTTTCTGCTGTCTGCTTTTCCCAGGGGAACAATTGGTGGAATTTTTACAGCTCTGAACGGAAGCCCCCCCCCCCCAACCCCCAACAAGCTGTTGCCAGAGAGTTTGGGAACAATTACTCGTTTCTTAACATGTGACATTTTTTTTTGGGGGGGGGGCAGCTAATCATTGCTGCTTCCTTTTATGCTGAAATCATGTTAAAGCCCCTGTCTGCCATCTTCCCCAAAAGATGATGCGTGTGTCTGAATGTTATGTTATGAATTCGGATGCAGCCCCCACTCCCCCCCACCCCCCGCGATTGCCAGCTTCCTAAACAGTTTGACAGTAATTAATTAAGGAATAACAGGTTCACAGCCCTTCTGTCTAATGTGGTGATTGGGGGAAATGCCTTGAGAGCACAGTACCACACACATACCTGGTGATGGCAGCGTTGAGCTCCACAGACAGTGCTCAGGTGTCTCTGAAAAGGACCCAAAGAGCAGTCATGTATGCGACTGTTGTGCTCGAATGAGCAGCTCACGAGAGAGCAGTGTTAGATTCGCACTATAAATACCTCCTGTTCTAATTAGTGTTTATGAGTTTGAGGCCCTTTAGAAAGAGGGTGGGGCTTTGGATTGTAATCAGGTCTCCAGGGAAGTTGGGGATGGGCATGCTCATCTATAACCAGATTTATTTATTTTTTCTGCATTTTGCATAGCAATTCATTACATGGCCACATTGCTTACTAACCCAGTGAGTCCTGGTGATGTCAGGCTTAAAGCCCTGCAGTGTGTGTCTGCCTGGGCTCTCTGCGCAGACGGCGCATAGCACCCAGCCGTCTGCGCGGACGGCGCATAGCACCCAGCCGTCTGCGCGGACGGCGCATAGCACCCAGCCGTCTGCGCGGACGGCTATTAACACCCGCATGTCTACACGGACAGCCCACACTGCCAGCCTGCCTCGAGGGGAATCTTTGTGCGGAATTTGTCAGTCGACACCCTTCACCTCCACCATCCTAATGCCTAGTTGCTAGGAGACGTACCGTGTGGCAGCTGTCGCCTCTTCCAGGTGATCTCGGCGCTGCTCGCCGACCTGACATCCGGGATTTTTGCTAATCCTTGCGATACCTTATACTGGTAGCAGCTGTTCATATAGTAGAAAATGAGGGGAGAAAATATACTGAGTTTTTCCCCCTCAGGTGAAAGCAAAAAAGCATCCCACGTAGTCAGACATCGTATGGCTAATATGCAGAGTAGGGTTTGGGGTCCTGGAGCCATTGAGCAATGGGTCCTGAAGCTCCTTAGACATTATTACACACTGCGAGGGTTATAATAGTATGGCCGTGTGTAGGGCTGGGTAACATCATACTGATATTATTGTGTGCATGGGCTTCAGGTGACAGGCGAAGCATTTGGTCGGACGGCAGCTTTTTGGCACTATGGACATTTATTTTTACTATACGAAAGTTTATCACTATGTTTTGATATACGTGCCATATACACTGTAGCAGGGCACACCACATAATACTGTTATGGTATACTATGGTTTGGTATACTCCAGTGTGATATGCACTGTAGCGGGGCACACCACATAATACTGTTCTGCTATACTATGGTTTGGTATACTCCAGTGTGATATGCATTGTAGTGAGGCACACCACATAGTACACCATAGTATACCAGAACAGTATTATCAGTATATCACCCAGCACTAGCTGTATCATTACCAAGAAGATGATAGTCGGGATCGTGACACAGCAATGATTTAAAATTAATAATAATAATAATAAAGAAGAATAGTGATGCAATATCCTTCAGAGCTTTTCCAGAATTTCGCAACCCCTGGTGTTCCCAGTTTGGCGAGGCGATGATCCCACCATAATCTCTCTCTAAAAATCCCTCTTCACTCCTGCGCCTTTCTCTCCCCCAGTAATGTCCTGCTGTTTTCAAAGTGACTCTAAACGAGTAGAGTGATCAGCATGGTGATTCACATAAGCTGAGCCTGACTTACGTCTGAATGCCCCCTTAGTGCCACACCTATCCTGTTATAATACTGATGTAAATGATTACATTTTGGTCAGTCCGGTTTTTTTTCTTTTCTTTTTCCTAACAGTGTGAGAATTACTTCCTTAAAAGGTAACTCCCTTTTAATGTGGCCAATGAAATATTACTGAAGGGCCACCTTTAATTCCAAAATCTAAATTCTGTCGAAACTTAGAAATTAAACGCTTCTTGTTCCAGTTAGAAAAGTAGAATTAGACTGAACTTTATTGATCCCAGAGGGAAATTCTAGCATATTTAGTACTATGCAGAACTCTGCTGGAACCAAAATGTGAGTCAGAGGATGGCTATACTCACCGAATGTAACATTGAAGGCAAAAGCAGGTCCTGGCTGCTGGGCCTTGGGTTAGGAGACACCTTGTCCTCAGTCACAACACTATATGGAGTCTACAGACCTTATTCTTAACACATCATCCCGGGAGCCTTGATCTTGCGTGAAATTTTTATGTTGGGCCATAGGTCAAGCTTTTGCTGTAATTAATGGCTGGTGTGAGATTGCATTTGCTGCTTTTGCTGATATGCCTGAACACTTAATTTGAATATTAAGCACCACACCCCTCCCGGCTACATTATAAGGTTCTCTCAACATTACAACGATGTTGTACCATCACCAACCACATATTTGAGGTGCTGTGAGTCAGTCGATCAATGAAATATGAATGGTTCAGGGAAATAAAGCCTAGTCTGTTTGCATGTTCAGCTGCTGCCGGGCCATTGGCAGGCCGTCGGGTCTCGTCTTCTCATCGAATCTGTTAACCCAAGCTGAGTTTCTACCGGAGAGTCTGACAGAGAGCCAAGCTTGCCCTGACTTCTGTGTGGTCCATCCAGCCACACCTGTAGTAACAGCCTGAAACACTGGTGCATACCTATTTTCTGAGTTCTCTATTTATCTGGGTCTTTTCTGGTAAAAATCTTTCCCAATAAAGGAAGTCTTAAGGAAGGAGGTTTTTTGTTTTATTTATTTGTAAGAAATAGATACCAAAAATCTAGTCACATCTAGTAGTTGACTGGGCATCTAAACGTGATCAGTATTGACTGTGGGAACTGTTGTCTTTTTTGAGGTTCCTTAAATGGATTAACTCTGTTAGAGGTCAGGCCAAGAGGAACAGAGCATTAACGGCACAACCTTAGATCCCCTTCGTAGCCACAGAAGAGGAAATGAAATATTGCTGCTGAAGGGTTAAAGATACGCCGATGGTTTCCATTTCAGGAATTGCATGCAAGAGGCGTGTCGAGATGCCTCTGTCATTTCAGTGGCTTTTTTTCTCCTCGCTGGTAGACCTCACGGGGTTTATTTTATCTGAAAAGGCCCCTCCTGAATTAAGCTCAATTCAATGGGTCTCATAAAGCTGCCTTCCGATTCGCTCTTCATGCCGAGCCTCTTGCTAAACCCCAAACGCATTTCCCGTGCTTTTCTTCTCTATGGAACATCTCTGTAGGGATTAATAATAAGATTGATGCTGCCTTTGCCACCTCTGTGTGTTTTTCTATAGTCTCCAAACCCTGCCTTTCATCCTTTTATATCAGCTGGCTATGGCGTTAGCATCTGTCTCTAACAGACTTTTGTGTATAATTAACCATAATTACATAAGCTTCATCATTTACCCAGAGAGTCTTAATGCTGGTGTCGTATTAAAGGATCTCTTCCAAGGGATAGACAGATGACTTTATGCATGTGTGCTCTGTTTTGCCAAACTGTATGGTTTTCTGGTTGTTTTCTTTTAACTGCGTCTGTGGGGTTTATAAAAAGGTTATATTGGCAGCTTGTATAAATGAGCCATTATAAGTAAAGTGTTCGATTCTCCTTCCTGCCCGCAGATAGGTGAGGGGAGCCGGGGGGTGCGACTGGGCACTCTGATCGCCCTGATGGTGGAGGAAGGCCAGGACTGGAAGCAGGTAGAGATCCCTGCTGCTGAGGCTGCCACCCCCTCGCCCCCGGCACCCGGCCCTGCCCCTGCCCCCGCTGCTCTGCCCCTACATCCAGCCCCGCGGCCACCCCCCGCTGCAAAGTCTTCTGGACCGTGAGTGTCACTAGGAGTCCCCGAGAGTCCATCACACAGTGGGCAAGTGTAACAAGGTCTCGGCCTGAAACAGATTAGCACCCGTGCTTTGATTACATGGTACCTATGGCTGCCTGAGGTCATGGCTAAAACAGAGACTGCAAAGCTCTTCCTGTTTTGATGTAAACATCGCGTTGCTGAGCCCATATGCTCATACTTTTTTTCTTTTTTTTTTGAAGGTACCTTTTCGTAGTTGTGAAGACTTCCTTTTTAGCTGCCCTTCCTGTTGCAAATGAGGAACATATGTGACCCCCTACTCCGCTTGTCTGTCTCGGTAGTTTCATTATGTGAGAGTTTTGATGTTTTTCTTGTCCTGGCGAATATCTACAAATGGGGCAGTTAGTCTTGGGTCTCATAATGGAAAATTTTAATGGAGTCCGTCCTCATATTCAGGGTTTTCCTAATATCTTCTCACTATTTTAAGTCTGCATTTTGTAGTTTATTCAACCGTGGGGATTAATGAAGTTTAAGGTGCAAGCAGCAGCATCACACACCCCGGAGGATAGTTACGCGAGGGAAGATGAGCAGCGCAGGGTTGGAGGAGGAAGAGGCGAATGCAGAGAATTGTGAGAAAGTGAAGGAATGCAGAATTCCAATACCTTAAATACCAAACCAGCTGGGGTGCTTTTTTTTGGTACTTTGGGGTGGGGCTTCCTTTCTTTGTTGATTATTGGTTATGCAAATAGCCCCCCTCTAAACACAATACAACCGCCATCTTGAAAAAATTACTCGGAAAACAACGATAAACAAAGTTTAAAAAAAAAAACATTAAAATTAGTAGACAGACCCAAGCTTTAATTGCAATCTGATTGGAAGAGAAAGATACAAGATCAGGATGACATGATAAGAAATACAGTTTTTTGTGTAATATACTGCACTAGGACAACATGGGATTGAAAATTTCCAAATATTGTCATGTGATTTTGTTGTAACAAATACTGGGGTATTTTTAAAGCAAAAAAAGGCATTAGCTTCTCACAGTCCCATCTAGGAGTGATTTAAACAGCAAGAATGAAAATAAACGTCTCGGAGAACATGTGCAGCGCTCATGCAAAAGCCGCGGAGCGACACTCAAACTGCTTTTCTTAAACGTACACTAGATAATCTTGAAAGGGAATAATCATTAAAACTGCCAAGTTTGTTTTTCTGTGACGGAGTAATAATGTTTTAGTGAAACGTATCTTTAGTGAAACCCCTGTGCTATATAATGTCTGTACGCTATGAAGGTATGAAATTGGCGAAGTAACAATTGGATGTCCATAACATGCAATGCTGGTATTAATACTGCACATCGACCAGCCCTATAATATACTACAGCCATTTTTCGAATTCAGTACAAATTACCCCGCCTTGTATTGTGATGTCAAATCAGCACCTTGAAATACCGTACTTTTGGTACTGTCTTGAAGTTGGTACTTTATTTTGCGTTACGGTTCGGTTCGGTTCCTGCATGCCAGGGGAAAAATGCCATATCTATATTATCCTGATGAGTAGGTTGACTGCATATGTGAGGATTTGATTGGATATGTGCGTGTTGCCATGGTTACGTGTTTGGTTGACTTTCTTCCTCCCTTCGTCTCAGGCCGCGTCTGAGCCCGGCTGCACGGCACATCTTGGACACGCATGGCCTGGACCCTCAGATGGCCACGCCCACCGGACCCCGGGGTCTTATCACCAAGGAGTAAGTGTGGGACGGAGTGTAGTATGTGATGGAATGTTAAACAAAGAACAAAAAATGGATCTCCCAGTGAGGTGAAGAACACCATTGTGTAACAGTGATAACGTTGAGGTTGTCAATGACCAGTCGGCCTAAGAAAGGAAAGAAAAAAAGTATGGTTTTGTATGGAAAACGGAGGATCCTTTGTCTCAAATTAGCATCAGACAACGATGTAGCTGTCCGACGAGAATAACCTCGTTCAGAGTGCATATGGCAGCCTCAAAGACCAGAAACCGCATTTTAACGTGCCGGCTGGAGTCCTGGGTTTCTGAGGGGTCTTGGGAGGGGGTGGGGCGGGCGGGGGGAGGGGTTAGGGGGATGAGCCTGGGGAAGGAGGGAATTAGCGCCTGGTGAACACACATTCACCTGCTTCGCTCCTGGGGTTTCCGACGGCGACGGTGCTGTGAGCCGTCTGCAGAGAAGCCTTATTAAGAGCTGCTGTCCCCATGGCAACCCAGTCTCCGCCATCCCCTGTGTCCATAGAAACGGTCCATATATTTAGTTTTTGCAATCAGCGCCTTCGTGTATTTAGATTATTTAGAGTAAAGCATTCTGCCGTAACAGAGAAGCTGGGCTTTTTATAATTTCACTATTTTTAAAGTCCACATTAAATGTTAAGGTTTTTTTTTACTCTCATTTCCCGTCTGGTGTGAGACGATGTGTGGATCATGGGTTTTACGGATGACTCACTTGCAGTTTTTGCTATGGTTACCAGTATCACAGGGAGTTAAGGTAGGGAAGCCTGTGATCATTCTTTAAAACACTGTAAAGGTGGTATGTGGGGGCAGATCATTATCAGCAGGTTTTAACCCCTCTCGCCTTCAAAGTAAATTCTGAAAAGTGAAATTATGGGCTTGTGGAGACTTTTTCACTTTCCCGATAACGTGACTCACCTGCGGTGTTAGAAGATCACTTTGATATAAAGCCAGCAGGAAGATGTTTTACAGGCCTGGACTCTACACAACGATTTTCAGCTTGCAGCCATTGAGAAACCAACCCTCCCCCCTCCAAAAAACAGCTTAAACAGTCGGCCTGTACCCTCCCCCTTCTCCCATCTTTCTGTCACACTCGTGTCCCCTTCCTGTCTTCATATCCTTGCCGCTAGACGTACTGACACTTTGACACAGACATGAGTTTATAGCCTAAACCTGGTTAATAGAGTTGGGGTCCATGGCACTGGGAATCCTGGTGAAGAATGCGAATGGTTTATAGACTGGCAGGTTTGATAAACGCATCTGCTTCAGGGAACACACTGCCATTAAACAGATTTCAGCAGCGGAATGTGGTTGTAATGGACTTTCGGGCTGAATGTTTTAGTTGCTGTTATCCGAAGTCTTGGGCTCAAGCGAAGGTCTCTGTTTAGCTGTCTCTAATGTCATATGAAAAAGCAATAAGTGGCATATAATTTATTAACAGCTGGGGTGGACTGATCGCAGTAGAGGCCGATTTCACAGGCTGGTAAATCCAGTCGTGTCTCTGGACTCCGCTCCCAGCCTTCAGCTTTATTATTTTCTTTCATCACTCACCTGTCTAGCAGGAAAGGAAAAGGCAAAGATTTACAGACAGGACCCCAGACGATGCTAGGGGCTGTTTGAACTGGAGGAGCTCCAGTTATAGATGATGCCGTGGATCGCAGAGATGAGCTGTATCATATTTATAGACGTATTACATGGTTGCATTACCATTCTTAATAAAGTTCATCTTAAAAATACCCACTGAGGAAGCTTATTCAGTTTAGGTCTTTACACTTCAGTTTGACCTGATTTGTTTTCAGGAGAGATGTAAGGCTGTAGTAATTAAAGAGGCAAGACGCCACACATTGACTCTGAGATACGCCCCCTAGTGTACGGAGATAGGAGCGCCTGGAAGCGGCGTCGGTTCAGGCGAGGCTTTGGGCTTGTGGATGTACGTGGAATTTATATTGGGAAGATGGCAATTTAAATGTTCATCAAACATATCTTTAGAGTGGCGGCAGCTGTTGGATAGGATGCCGGCTGAAAAGGGATTAAAGCCGGTCTCTATTGGCTGAGGGATGCGGCTTCGGTTAAAACTCGCAGTGTTACCCTGACAGCGTCCCCACGTGACAGGGCTCGCCGCACAGCGCCCCCCCCCCCGCCTCAATTTAACCCAGATACACTACCCTGCCTCCCAGTGCCTCTCTGTTATCCTAAAACAGCTGCTAATGATGCTTTTGAGGTTAGGGGGTGGGGGTGAGGCCGTGGGGGAGTGGGGGAGCACACTCCCGTTTTCCTCTAAGGAGGGGGCTCTGCCCTCTGTAAACAATGATGATGATGAAGAGTGATGAGCGAGAGGACAAGGTTTTAAGAGTGTGGCTGCCAAGGGAGGGGAGGGGGGGTGAATGTGTAGAGAAAATGGCAGTGCGGGAATTCACGTCTGAGCGCAGCCAGAGGTGAAAATAAAAAAGAATTATAAAATAGAATACAGACATTTACAAGACAGCACATGTAACAGCAACAACAATCGACGACAACGTGTAAGAGTTTGCACATTGTGGAAAAAGATGCACACGTGTAGTTTAATAAGGGCAGTAATGATTACGCCCAAGCAGCTTCCATTCAGCCGGGTCACTTCACATGGGACACACCCGAACACTCCTGAACACTCCTGAACACTCTCCAGCAGCCTCCACTTAGGAGGGCATGGAACAGACTGTTACCTGCCCAGCCCGTATCCCCTCCTCTAACATCTGATGTAGCCTGTAGGTTTCTCCGTCTGTTTTTGGGGAATGTATATGACAGCAAACTTTCCCCTTTTGTTGACAGGAAACACAATGTATACCAAACTTGGCACCTTGATAAAACAGCAGCGCGAGAGAGAGAGAGAGAGAGAGAGAGAGAGAGAGAGAGAGAGAGAGAGAGAGAGAGAGAGAGAGAAAAAAAACAATGTATCTGTATGAGCCCATGGAAGCTTTGACTAAAAGCACCAGATTTTCTTTCTCCCCCGGGGAAAATTAGTAGGGTATTTGTCAGTCAGATGGCAGGAGACATGCCGAGAGACGAGGTAAGGCGTGACTCAATCGGTAGTTGTTGGCAAAGCTCCCCGTTTGACACCAACATGCCCCCCCTGTCCCAGCACTCCGTATAAAAAGCGGGCAGCTGTTCACCGCCCTCATGTAACCACCTCTGATTAATGACACCCGACGCATGATTACAAAAATCACGTCATGGCAGGACCTCTCAGCACCGCTGCCGGCGGAGATCCCATGCCCTCTCTGTATGCGCTCGGGGGGGGGGGGGGGGCATATCTCCGTCATTTAGCCCAGCTGTCACCAATCTAGGATGTCCCTCGCACCCTTGATTATTCTCTTTATAAAAGTATATCAAACGGTAAAAACAGTTTGAGGCCGCCGCATTAGCCTGTGCATGATTATTATTTGGTGTTGGAGACTGAAGTCCTACAACGTTAAGGCAGCCATGTGTTTAAGGGAGTCGACCCCAAATCAGAAGCCCAGTAGTTTGATTGACATTCTTGCAGCACAATCAATGCATCCACACGCAAGGCTTTGGCTTGTGGCAGGTCTGTGAAGGAACTGTGAACTAAGCCGCTTCTACATGCAAAGCTCCCACAAAAGCTAAGGTTTGAGTCTGTACAATCAAGGTGTGTCTATACTGCAATACTATAATTAAAAGGCTTCTTTACCCGGGGTGCCCAGGCTGAGCACTAGTCTTGCTCGCTCATGCCCCTAGTGTCTGGAGGAATGGATTTGCATTGTCCTTTAATGGTTACTAAGGCATGCTTCTAAAGTAAGGCTGCCCAGTGTCAAATTTCAGCACTCCTTTCCCCACAATAGATGCTTGTCTGAGAAGCGGAAATGCCTCATTAATTCATCCTGGCAAATTATTGCTAGTGCAAAAATATGGTCCACGCTAGTGACACTTTTATGGGAGGCTGAGAAAGGGTGTAATTTTTTTTTTTGTGCTGTTCAAGGGGCTGATCAGCACATCTACTGAAGCAACACTTCATCGGTTCCACCCTCATAGTCTTGTGTAGGGTTGCAAAATTCTAGGAATATTCTTGTTAATTCCCATACTTTCCCGTTAATTCCCATGGAAAGTTTCTAATGTGGAATATTTCCAAAATTCCCCAGCTTAACTTCCCATGGAACGGAGCCCTTTGCAACCCTAGTCTTGTGACAGACCTGCCTAAAAATGACCTCATGCCCAGTAGACAAACCCCAGGCACTAGGTATTTTGTACAGTGAAACATTTTGCTTCAACACATGCATGCAGCTGGTGAAATGCGACTTTTCTTGAGTGCTTCAGCACAAACAGGCTTGTGTCCTATGTTGGGGGTTAGTATGACCCCAAGCTGAGGGCCACATTGTCACCGGTGGAGAGAGTCATCTTTTGGGTTAACCCTCATTCTGATTTTTTTTTCATTCCGGTATCTGTGGTGACCAAACCTTTGTCTCCTGCCCAGAGATGCTCTGAACCTGCTGAAAAAGGGAGATCCCAAGGGCCCTGAGGTGACCAGCACGGCCCCGGCAACAGCACCCCCCTCACACCTTCCCCCAGTTTCCGGAAGACCTGCATACCCTCCAGTCTCTGTACCCGGAAAGCCAGGAGCCCCGGTCAGTACTGAACCCACGGCCTCTCTGTGTACAGACAGCATAAACACACTTTGCAAGACAATTGTTAAAACCGTAGCAGATCGCCCTCTGTTGGGCCCTATAACCGTAATCCGATGCCATGATGTAGCAGACGCATGCTTTGCAGGAGGATACCTGTTAAACATTTGGAAATACAAATCGTGTACTAATGAACTGTGGTGTACATAGGGTCAGTTGACTTAATGCATTTTTCATGCTTGCTCTTTCAGTTATCCTTGGGGACCTGATTTTAACAGCGTAAAAAAAATAGATACAAACAAGCGAAAGACTCCATGGTTTTAAACACTGAAATACTACATGCTGACATACAAACTACTCCTAATTGTGTTTTTTCTTTTTTTTATTTACGGAAATTCACTGTGACAGATTATTGTAGATTTAAATTGAGATATGGTATCGTTTCCAGTTGAATTGGTATGTCAGTGTGGGAAGCCTGCAAGAACCTGTTACGGTCTGTGCGGTTCAGGTTCTCCGGTCCTGATTGCACTCTCAGTTGCACAGAGTAGCACAGGTAGTTCGTGTCATTCTATAGTAAAGACGGTCCTTAAGAGTTGTGGGTTATACACCAGTGACTACGTCACCACCACAGACGACACTGAGATCTAGCAAACCGAGCAGAACTTTACGCAAAGGATATGTTGGTGCGTTGAAGAATCCTGGTGACTAATAAGCTGTGTTTGTTTGCCCAGATATTTTTGCACAACGGTGTTACAGGGACTAAGCATGTAGCTGGTGGCCAACTGACCCAGAGCATTAAGTAAAACTGGCATAGATATGGGGTGGCCAGTGACTCGGGAAATTGTATGAGCACGTCACTCTTGTATTAGCAGCAGCGAGATGATATGCAAATTTATCCCACCTCACTGACTCTGTGTTCCCTTTTATTACCAAGTCAAGGCCTGTCATGGCAAAGAAAAACAAGTGAATGTTGCAAGAACTCTGAATGTTCTACATGCTGTTTTATGGCTGACATTAAAGGTAGTCATCCGTGCAGTTTGTCTGATGACCGTAAACTATGGCTTCAGTCTTGGCTTGTCCCAAAACTTCTGACAGGCTGTTGGCGCCATTCAGAATGCAAGTTATGGACTTTTCTGCCAGTAAAGAACTTAATGGTGTGCAGATGATGGTGTTTTGTGTTGGGATATGATCAAGCAAGGGGGGCAAGTGGGAAGTTTCCACCCGTCTTCATCCATCCTCTTTCCTATTGTAAAATGAAGACTCCATTGTCTTGAACTAGAGGCTGTGGTTGATCGTTTTTGGTTAAAAAGGCTTGTTCTTGAACATTCGTTGGTTCACTGGCAGGTTGGCCACCTCAGAGATGCCACTGAGAGATAGGGAGAGCTGACGATGGAATGGGTTGGGTCTTCACACTACCTACTTAATGTGATAGCCGGGATTCTGTCACGCTGCCCACTGCTGTGTTAAAAGCAAGCAAGCCAGCATTGTTCCAACACGCTTGGCATCTCTCATGCGTCTTTCCTGGCCCTGATAAGGAGCTCTGTTTATACAAGCACTAAGAGTGGCTGCCTGGCAGCTGCAAGATCAGATGCTGCACTGAGACTTAATGCCAACTTGAAGCAAATATGGCAAATTCTAGTTGTGGTTTTCAAGGGGGTCTTGTTTAACCATTCCCTCCACAGTGAGTTTTGATGATACCTTCCCCAACTTCAGGTGTGTGAGAATGAGGGAGGCAGATCCCTGAGAGTAAAAATCCAGACCAAGATTTTGTTTCAGAGTGTAGAGCAGGAGTGTCAATCTCCAGTCCTGGAGGGCTTGAGCCCTGTGTAGCTTAGTTCTTTCCCTGTTCTATCACAAATTATTCATTTCAAGAGCTGTAGGGTATTTAGCACAACAAGGTGCAAGGAGTTGAATCTGGTATGTTAAATGAGGGGAAACCCAAAAATGTGCAGAGTACTCAGCTGGTTGAAGCAAAATCTTGGTCTGCATTTTTCCTTTCTGGATCTGAACTATCCACCTCTGTTCATTTCCATCCTGTCAAGAGACATCAGATCTTTCAGGCTTACAAAGTGAACAGTTGTGTAGTTTTCTAAACAACTGGGCTTATAAGATTATAATATGGCCAGTTCAAACAATGCTGTATTTTTGCTTTGTAACTAGGAAGTTGGCATAAATGACAAAAGAATCATTCACAGATGATTCTTTAGTTCTGTACATTAACTGTTGTCAACAGCTGATCTTCCCCAATTTTCTGACCGCAAACCCCTTTCTAATAACAGGTTTTGAGGCATGCCCATAGTAGGTTGTTGCTTATGGACTTCAATGAGCCCAGCATGTGGCTTTTTGTGGAATTCCGGAATCTTTTCTTGGCTTAGGGTACCTTCACGGAGATCCCGGCCTCTAACGTGCGCCGTGTCATCGCCCAGAGGCTCACCCAATCAAAGACGACCATCCCTCACGCCTACGCCATGGTCGACTGTGACCTCGGCGCCGTCATGCAGCTGCGGAAAGACCTTGCCAAAGGTGAGGGCATCAGTGGGTGGTTTGGGGTTTGGAGCTGTCTGCTGCCATATGCAAATCCCTAGCTTTGCCTTGTAGAAAATATCGGGCAACATGGCTCTTAAGATAGAACGGCCTCATGAATTATTAGCGTTTCTCGTTTGTGTGGCACAGCGAGGGGGGGCTTCACAAACTGATAACGGGGGATGTGGGTCTGTCGCAAGTCGCTTTTGAAGACGGATGAGAACAAGAATTCGCTGCACTATGTAACGTTGCTAGAATTAACCTGTGTTAGGTCCCCAGAACTGCAGACAGACAATGTTTATACAGGCACACGAATGACCACCTGTAATGCCTGCTGTTAGCCTGAGGACATGTGCCCTTGGAGGACAGATAGCTGTGACCTTGATTGAAGGTCACTATGAGGCTAGCATGTAACAGTATAGGAGGGAAATGGTAGGAATCAGTGACTGAATAAAGGAATCGACAAATGAAGAAAAGTCAACGAACAAACCCTGAACACATCCACAGTTATACCATAAGAAAATAGAATTGTCTCTGACTGTTACTGGGAGGATCTGTTATCCGCCCGATAGTGTACGGGGGGGAATATGCGTTCAGGCCACAGGGCAGAAGGCATGCTGGTTACCATTTCCTCTCGCATCTTGATTAATTACCCTCCGTTAAGCTGTCAGCTGAATTAATTGCCAAATTGAAACATGATAAAACTGAGAACATTGATTCAATCTCGTAGATGCCACAATATGCAGTTTGTCATGGGGTAAAGATGAATACAGTCTGCCTACCTTACATCGTGCCGATTCACTCAGGCAGAACGTAACCAAGGCTAATAAACTAAAACCAGCGTGCCCCCCCAGGCTGCATAGTTTTGAAATTCCCAAGTTCCACTAATTAATGCAAATTACCCTCAGTGCACAGAGGGGGAAAAAGTATAGCCTCTGAATTGATTCTGTCGCTTGCAAAAGGGCTGCCTGTATGCAGAGAGCAGGTGAGCACTTTGCGAATCTGTCCAAACGGTGTCTGCTGCGGGTTCTCTGTTAACCCCATCCCATCTGCTGAATCGCCCTTCCTGTCTCCGTGGAAACATTCTTCCACACAGGCACCGGGCTAGCTAGCTGCTTTAGATACTGCGATCATTCCTGTTTGTTTTTACTTTTGGCTAGCCATATAATTGTTTTAGTGAAATAGGTAGCCACTATTGAAGTCTTGAGCAAATCAAAAACACATACTGGTGCCAAAAATTATATTGATTCTTTAAGTCATGCTTGGATTAAGATTTCTTTTGTAGTGCTTCTGTGAAATTAGGGCAGCAAGCAAGGAGATGCATACCGTCCGGCTTGTGTTGATAACACGTTCACCAGTGCATACATTCCAGTGTCACCTGCTGATCATACCTGCTGATCACACCTGCTGATCATACCTGCTGATCACACCTGCTGATCACAGCAGCTGCAACAACTGATCTAATCGCTCACAAGTCATGAATATCATCACGGTCCGATTATTATTCGCTGGGACAACCGTGTGTTTGACTTTTGATAGTAATTGAGAAGCTCGCATCAAACGCTGTGCAAAATTTTCCTGGATGAGATGGAAGGAGCGGACACTGGAATCAAATGGCTTTTTTTTTTTTTTTTTTTTTGATAATTGACTTTTTTTGTCACTTGCTTTTATTGGAAGAGCATAAAGGAAGGGCGCGGCTCTGCGGGCGGGCCAGGGGTGTGGCCGGCAGCTTTCCATGGAGCAGAACCTACTTGCTGGAGACCTGTGGCTTCAGGCTTGGCCCTGTCCACAAACGGTGTCCTTAAATAGGCTCCCACGCCTAGCAAACTGATTCTTTGTCCCCAGATTATAAAAAGGACCTAGAAAGTGCCTGTTTATAGAGTTCAAATCCTCCACCTGCCTCATTTTGGCTGGAACAAAGAACAAAGGCGGTTTGCAGCTTCCAGCTGCATTTAAAGTGCTGCTTACGGGGCTTTCAGCTTGCAGGTTAAATCTGACGCAGCGTAGGCAGCGTCCCATTTCTGGCTCTTCCTCTCCTCCCCATAAATCGTTCATCGTCTTCTTTACAGGCAGCTGAATTACACATAGGCTGTTTCTTTGGTCATGGGTCTGTTGACCATTCAGGGGGCCCAGTTCAGTCCCCCTGCCCACCCATGCTGGTGCTTTTCTGTCTCGGGATTGGACGCTTTGCTCACCCGGGATTGGCTGTCTGAGTGGCGTGTCTGTTCAGTGATGTGTATCTTGCTTCTGTCTTTCAGCGGATGTCAAGGTTTCTGTGAATGATTTTATCATCAAGGCTGTAGCAGTTACTTTAAAGGTAAGTTTGTAAGTGTGCAAACGCACCCCCCTGATCCACAAATGCCAGGATAAAATTTCTACAGCTGAAACAACCAATGATTGAGCTGGATAGTATAATAAAAATAATTTAGGCTGTTGTATAAAAAGGGTTAGGTGTTCTCAGCATGATGGGAAGGGGGGGGGGTATCACTCAATGCTAATTATTGAGCTGATCGAGAGGCTTCCCCTCGTGTTCCGTGTGTCCTGGGGTCTGAAGACTGATGTCACCATTGGGCCCCTCAGCATGGTCCTTAACCCCCAGTTGCCCCAGGGCTGCTGTCTGCGACCCCCAAGCTTGTTCTCACCTGTCTGTATCTTACGGAGAGTGAGATGGGATAGGCGAAAAGACCGTTTCCCCATGAGGGTGACTAAGGTATCACTCCTATTGTATTGTGTTCTTTTCTATTCTTTTCTATTCTAATTATGTAACAGTGTCTGAGATTACCTTCTATCAGTCCTGGTGAGTAATCAAGCTTTGGGAGGGACTAATCATTTCCAGACTTAGGGGGCCAGCATAAGGTGTCCATCTAGATAACTAGGTAGGTAAAAGCATGAGGTGATACCCCAGTTCTGATGTCGCTCCCATCTGGACCCGGCCCGGGGTTTGAGGGGTGCTCCAGTGTGCTCCAGTGTGCTCCAGTGTGCCCCCGCTGCACTGGTTTCATTTTTGGTCAGATACAGATGCTGCTGTAGTCTTTCAGGTTCCTTGGCTGCTTAGTAACTTCTGTAGTTTTTCTTGCAGCTTAAAAAGGTGTGTCCCCTGTTAACTTTTGAAGTTCCATCGAAAACAGGAAGTGACCCTTTTTTTTTTTTACACCATCTTTTACTTGCACTATTCTCATCACTACCTTTTTTTTCTCCTCGTTGAACTGGTTAAGGAAACCACAGCGGTTGGTGTCAGCCCGGGGTCGTTGAGGGAGTGGTTAGTGGCTTGAACGCTGGTTGACTGCAGTAAATGAAGCGTCAGGCTTCTCACCCTTCGGTGTAATTGGCGTAGTTGTGCCATGCGTCTGACCCTGACAGTCTGACAAGGATAACTGACGAGGCACTAGCCACAGTTGCACCTGTCTGTGTGGAGTTGGGGGTGGGGCTTCATTGACGAATAGGAAGGCAGAACTCTGTCTTGTTAGCATTTGCAAGCTGGGTCTGTTATGGTAAAGATGGCTTACATAACATGGACTGTAATAATGGCTCGGGAGTGTGGTGTTATAAACCGCTACACCTAACGGCCAGTGCCTGTGAATTCTCCTCCTCTATCACCTGTCCCAGGAACTCCCAGAGGTCAACGTGACCTGGGCGGCTGACGGGCCTCAGCCACTGGACTCCATCCATATCTCCATTGCCGTGGCGACGGACCGAGGCCTCATCACGCCTATCATCAGGGATGCTGCCGACAAGGGAGTTCAGGAGATTGCAGCCGATGCCAAGGTAGGAGCTGGGGCTGAGCGGGGCATGAATTATCGCGCAATGATGATTTCATGGTAACGCATCACCATGGGTAACAGTTATTGGCTGTTTATTGGTGATGCAAAACCCAACAGTGCAAAAAAAATAAGCTGCACAGTCACACAAAAAGTATGTCCCATAAAACAAGACTTGGAGAACCCGACAGAACCATCTGAACTGGAAGATCCAAATCGGTTGGGACATGGTTAGGGCTAAGGGGATGTCACGCCTGTCACAGTGAGAGTCACCGGTGAAATTTTCATGTTTGTGGACACCACCAAAGTGAAAATGGACTATTGGAGGCCATGGTGTGTGCGTCAAGACGACCAGTGATGAGTGTTAGAGGGCTCCGTACCGCCATACGGCACTGCACTGTGCTCACACTCAGAATGATGCCAGAACTCTGGGGGTGCTGTGATGTGAAAGCAGTCCGCACATGACGTGCCGTGTGTGTGTGTGTGTGTGTGTGTGTGTGTTTGTGAGAGATGGTGTAATACTATGGGTCATTTTCTCCATTTCCTCTTTTTTCCCTGAACATAAATGCTATGTTGCGTGTACGCACTTGGTTCTACAGGTGTGGTGTGTCAGTATGTATTACTGACTTTGAAATTCATGTTTGAAATAAGGGCATGAAAACATTTGTACGTGTGTGTGTGCGTGTGTGTGTGCGTGTGTGTGTGTGTGTGTGCGTGTGTGTGTGTGTGTGTGTGTGTGTGTGTGTGTGTGTGTGTGTGTGTGTGTGTGTGAGAGAGAGAGAGCTAGCCACGTCTCA